CAAAAAGTACTGAAATCTATGTATATATAGAGAAATATATATATATATATATATATATATATATATATAATACGTAAGATTTTAAACTTAGAATATCTCGATATGAAAATACAAAAGAATTGAGTAAAATACCACAAGAAAAAAGATTTGCATACATACTACTCATTAATTTCTACTTAATTATATATCTAACACTTGGACCTCAATTTTTACAGCATGAAAGTTGTATTTCATTTAAAAAAAATTTAAAAGAGATGATTTTTATGTGATATAAAAAGATTTAGTTAGTATTAATATAAAAGTCAAAATTTATGGCTAGATAAAGAAAAGAAATGATGAGGAAATCAATCACCCCAAAAGACTATAAATAAAGAAAAGAAATGATGAGGAAATCAATCACCTCAAAAGACTATAATCGCGAAATATATCTATGAGATCGGGCTAATGGGTGGGCGAGTAGGGCTCGGCGCGTGTCTGACTCATTTGGGTTTTTGACTAAATCAAAGCGACCTCAGGCCAGGCCGAGCTCGCAAAATTTTATTTTTTTCATAGCCAAGCCCACTAATTCTAAGTTGGCTTTCAGGCCATCCGTCCAATGCCAAAGTCTAGCGGTAATAAGCATGGCATCAACCCAAAACCATTTCGGAACATTAGATTTCAGGATAATGGAGTAAGCTACTTTGAGAGGGTGTTGATTTTTTCTCTCGGTAATTCCATTTTGTTGAGGATTGTTCATACATGATCTATGACGAAGGATGCCCTTACTTACCAAGAACTCGCCTAAAATTGAATTAAAAAATTCACGGTCATTATGGGTTTGAAGAACTTGGATTGAAGTTCCGTATTGAGTAAAAATAAAAGAGTGAGTTTTTAAAGGTGACAGCAGCTATTTATTTTTTATGATATAGATCCACGTTATTCGAGTGTGGTCATCAATTAAAATAAGGAACTGTCGTTTATGAGAATAGCTAGAAGTGTGAGAGGGTCCTCACAAGTCACTGTGAATTAATGAAAATGGAGCTGGAGTTGTGTAAGGATGAGATAAATAAGGAACACAATGATGTTTAGCTAATTGATAAAACAACGACAATAAAATTGTTTTAAATATTGAAAATTAGGATGACCAAACAACAATACAACATAATAAGACATTCAGTAGATCGAGAAAAAAATGAAACTACTGGGAGAAGTGTCATTGTTCTCCGCGCCTTTCTCTTAGAAGAAGTAGAGTTCAGCTACGATTTCAGCAGTTTCAATCATCCTCCCCGAATGACAATTCTAAAAGAAACTAACATCAGGAGAAAAATTAAGAATACAATCCATAACACGTGTTAGCTTACGAACAGAAAACATGTTATACTTTGACAGAGGGACATGTAACCCAAATTTCAGAGTTAGACCTGTTGTGATAATTGATCTTTTACCAGCAACAGAGTTACAAAAGTCATCAACAATTTTAATTGTTTTTTTCAGAGCATGGATAATATGTTGAGAATGTTTGAGAGTATCCAGTCATGTGATCCGTGACACATGAATCAATGATCCATGGACTAAAAAAGGAAGTGAGTGTCATAAGAGTGATATCTTGACGAACATGTGAGGTTGAAGAGCCAGAAGTGAACTGATTGGATCTAAGCAGTTTGATTAATTGCTCGGTTAATCCAGAGTGTTTCGAGTAAGAGTTGGTTGTAACGTAGCAGATTTAGATGCAACAGTCAGGCCCTTGGCAAAGGAGGATTTTGATGAAGGTTTATATGTTTGTTTCTCATAAAGTTTCAAATGCTTTTCTGGAGTTGGTTGTAACGTAGCAGATTTAGATGCAATAGTCAGGCCCTTGGCAAAGCAGGATTTGGATGAAGGTTTGTATGTTTGTTTCTCATAAAGTTTCAAATGCTTTTCTTGAGTATGTTTGGGTTTGTGACAACAATCACAAGCGGACCCAATGGCTCAATGAGGGTTTGACAAGTGTAGAATACTATTAGTAGCCAAAGCAAAAGATTAAACTGAGGTGGAAGTGATGAGTTTGACAATTATGTGGCTCCCTCCAAGCCAAATTTCTGTGAAAACAGCACGGGCACAAGGAAGGGGATCCCGACCAAGGATCCAGCCCCGGACTTCATCAAGGTCTTTGTTAAAACCAGCCAGAAATTGAAATCTACGCTCTTTTTCTATAATTTTCTGGAAGAGCGAAAGATCCGTCGGAGATTCTCATGTGTAATTATACTAGATATCACACTCCATCCATGAGACCATTAAATCATTGTAATATTGGGTCATTGTTCTTGATCCTTGTTTTGCCTAGCGAATCTTCTTAGAAACTTGATAAAGTTGACTAGAGTTTCCTATATCTGAGTAGGTATCTCGAACTGCAATTCATAAGGCACTGACAGAAAGAAGAAACATATACAAACACGAAATCGTCGTCTCCTGGAGTAAATCAGCCACAACATGATCATGAAATTTTTCATTTCCCAAGTTTTATGTGTCGAGTCCGTTTTAGGATGCTCTTGAATCATCCTGGTGAGATAGCCAAATTTCACCCATCCCTTGACGAACAATGACAAAACCTGGGACAATTGGAGAAAATTAGATCCGTTCAATTTATGGGTGGTGATTAGAAAATTCGAGTGGTTTTTCGGTCCTCTAGTTTGTGGAGTAATAGAGATCAAAGTTGACATTCCGGTTGACTCAAGTACAACATTAGAAAAAGGCTCGGTGGTGGAAGAGTCTGCTATGATTCTAACTGAGCCAAAAGTTATGTTGAGTTGTTGAGACATAGGTAGGTCCTGAAGGTTGGATAGGAAAATATCTGTCGAAAAACTGGAAAGAAAAAAAATTGCAAGAAAACTTGAGAAAAAAATCTGTCAGGGCAAAAATTTCCGTAGGGATCAGTGGTGACAAGCGACATATTAAAAGATCGGCAGAGGTTTCTGAAAATTATTCCTAAGGACCATTAGCTATAAGGGAAGAATTAAAGCCAATGAAAAGATTTGGATGCACGGAAGGAATAAAGTCGAAGGACCTGTAAGGATCAGCGGCCCAGTAAAACATCGGCAGTAGAAATCCTGCAGGGAAGAATCCTGGAGGTGGTCGGCTGCTAGCCCTAGAGCTTTGATACTATGTCAAATTTTAAAGAATAGAGCTGCATGCCTTTATTAATAGGAAGAGATGTATATAGGGCTGTCAAAACGACTCGTTCGCGAACAGCTTGTGTTTGGCTCGTTAATTTCGTTCGATAAGTTAACGAACCGACACGAACTAAGATGTGTTCGGCTCGTTTTGACTCGAAATACTACTCATCAAGTTTATATATATATACCTTTATTAATAGGAAGAGATGTATATAGGGTTGTCAAAACGACTCGTTTGCGAACAGCTTGTGTTCGGCTTGTTAATTTCGTTCGATAAGTTAACGAACCGACACGAACTAAGATGTGTTCGACTCGTTTTGACTCGAAATACTACTCATCAAGTTTATATATATATATATATATAAAATGACTCTTTGTTCGTGAACACCTTGTGTCAACACGAACACAATTTTTGAGCTCGAAATATAAACGAGCCGAACACGAGCCCTAGATGTATAAATACATATTACAAGATCCAAATAAAGTAAAAAACATAAGTTTGGAAATAGACCCAACTAGGAAATACATCAATATGAAAACAGAAATAAGGGAATCAAATACAAGCAAATTAAAGCTAATATTAATAACTACAGCTATAATTAGCCTATTAATTAGGTTAATAATTTGAATACCACCCAATTCCTATGAATATACATATCTAACATCTAAATTTTACTTTTTACACTTATACAAACCAAATCTTCATATCATATCAAAAATCCATCATTCAACTTTAAAAAGTGAAATGCACCTTTTTATGCATAGCTAAGGCGACATGCATGTAAAATTTGAAGTATAGGACTTAGATGTGTAAATACATAAGAATTGAGGTGTATGTATGCACATCTTCCATTAACAAATTAAGGTTTATTTTAGTGAAATCTAATGCAAAACTATTTTCAGATTAAAAGTTTCTGACCTTGATGTAGTCTTTCACACACTGCATCCTCTTCTGAATTGGTTGTATGAGATCAGCATACTGAATAAAAGAAAAAGTAGGTGAGCAGAACAGTCATGATAATGCAGCGAGCTATATATATATAAATTAGGAATGGGATAAAGGCTATTCAAGGGACCGAGATTTATTTAAGGCTTTTATATGAACATAATTTTCGATAGTATCTAAACAGAATTACATGAAGAATTTGTTGCGGATACGGTCCTGAAGGGATTATCTACTAACAATTTGCATCTTATTGAGTTTATTTTGTTTGTTTGCAGGATGGAAGTTTTAAATTTTGTGATGGGGTGGTATTGCGATTTTATTTTCTGGTTTCAAGTCAAGGTGGTTGGCAACCTCAAGAGTTTCGTCAGACTATACATAAAGCAACTAGTTTCGATCCTTTGAAGCGCAGGATTTAATTTGGGTTTTTTTATTTTATTTTGGGTATGCTTGTATTAGTTTGGTTAATTTTGTTATTTTAGGTTTATTTTATTTGTTTGTTTGGGTGGAGTTGTAAACATTGGAGGAACCCTTATATTGAGTGAGTTTTGTATTTTTTTTGTTTTCTAAGTATATATATATATTCTGAAACGACGGCAAAAATGTTTAAATTGGGGAGCATTCATCAGAGAGCTTTTGCTGTAACCAGGGGTGTAAAAGAGCCACGATTACAGTTTGTGTTACATGAACAAATCATTTCGACATGTTTATATTAATATATTTATTTAAATGGAATTTTTTATTTTAAATTTTTTTAAAAAATAATTTTAATTTATTATAAATTCTTATAACCTTATAGTTTATTAAATTATTTAAAAATAATATTTATATATATATATATATATATATATATATAATTATTTCAAAGGAAGTTCTTCAAGGAAAGATTTTAACTGTGAATCCTTGTATTTTGATCATGGAATAATTTATAACATTTTATTTACAAAAAGTTTGAACAGAGAAATTTCGTATTTGTAGTCATTGCCAGGGATCACCATTATGGCCCATAGTTAGTAATTCAATTTAACCATTGCATAAAAATAAAGGACGAGTTAGGTTTTCCTGTTCAACCTAACATTGGGAGAATTTTGTTGTATCATCGGAAAGATTTAGAGTTCATTTAAGGTAACATTCTCGCTACTTTATTTTTCAATTTGCTGCCACACATCTATTTAGCTACCAATTTAATGAAAGAAGGTTTACGATCTAAGCTTTGCCAATGCAACATAAGATAAGATGAACTGAAAATTAAAAAAAAATTATATACTTAGTAGGTTACCAACTCTCAACTTTAGCAAACAAAAATAAACCATCTTTAATGTGAAAAGAGTAAGTATGCATACTTTTGTTCAAAACAATAATGCAATAGTCGCCAAAATCGAAATGCCACAAAAAAAAATATGTATTGTGAATGAATATGACATTTCATCACAATTAAGATTTACATTATGGAGTAGAATGCAACATGTATTACACTTGACAAAACTTCAATCACTCAGATACACAGACTACTAAACAAACTACAAGCAAAAAATAAAGATATGAATCACCCAAAAGGAAGATTCTAGCCTCATAACAGTACAAGGACACTTGCCCCAAAAGTAATTGTGAAAATTTAAAATTTTATTTCAATACTAAATGTTCAATATTTTTTACATGCCTCAATGGTTTTATGCATAAGGCACAAAATACATAAAAAATTTCTTCAAATTCCTTTAAGATCCAATAAAAATTGCCAAGTTTCAATTCTTTCCATAACTTCAAGCTTCATAAGTTTCATATGAATCATTTATATAAGAAAAACAAGAAACTGCCATTGACAAGAACTTTATTTTTCACAGAATAGGGAATGCAGCATATATATATATATATATATATATACATGCATGTATGTATGCATACATACATACATACATATATATAGAGAGAGATATATACAAAGCTCCCTGGACTGTAACAATATTGGTTGAAAAGAAATTAAAAAACAGTATATGTTGGCGAGAAATATAGCGATTGGCGAGTCTTGCGGCAATCAACAGGTATAATAGCCATCAATGGGACTGTATCAATTAATGAAAAATTTGAATTATGTTCTGACCAATCTTTGTTTAGACTAGATCTCAAGGTTATTGATTTGATTTGAGATAAGTGCAATACATGTTTTGATTGATTAGTCAAAACATTGTACTCATCATATAGCTAATTTAATGGCTTTAAGGCTCACCTTGATCAAGTTTCAATCAGAATATCCTCATTAATTTTGGGATTGCAAGCATAATACCCATTTATTTTCTATTGGCAAAACTAGCACCGAATTAGTCCCATTTACAATAATATCGCATAAATCTTGAAGAACACCAAGGAAAAAAAAAAGAAATCCAACCCATGTTTTCAAATTTCATTATATACTCAATGATTTGGTCATAATAAGTACAGATACATGAGTTCAATAGCACATTTTCATAAGCTAATTGTTAATTTTCTAAAAAGTAATTTTTTTGTGGTAAGTGCTCAGATCTACCTAATCTTCTTTAAAACAATTATAATTTTACCATCATACAACAAATAAATGTCATCATCATCCCTTGCAATCACAGAACGCAAAATTAAACAGGAAGGAAGAAGAAACAGCGACAGAAAGTAAGAAGAAACAGCAACAAGAAAAGAAAAAGAAAAACACCTTTTTTTTGCTCAGCATAGGCCCATCACAAACACCCACCACTATGCGCTCACTTGCAAACTCCGCAGCTGTCTGTAATAAAGGAAAAGCACATAGATTCGCCAAATTAGATAGAAGAAAAAAGTGCAGATATGGATAGGGTAAGGAAGAGAGAGAAATAATTTAGGAAGAGTAGTTGACCTTGAGGAAAATGTGGTGGCCTTGGTGTAACCGATCGAAAGTTCCTCCAATGACCACCGCAGTATAGGAATTTGGAGCAGGAGAGTTTGGGTCCTGAAAGGTCTCTTCCTTGGAGCCCTCCATAGCCGAGTACAGAAAGGGAGAAGGAAGACGCGGAGTAGTGGGTCAGAGTCGGTACTCTTAAATCTGCAGATGATAGATCATGTAAGAACGAATTTAATTGATTCTACTTCAAAAAATAAATCAGTTTATACTGTCTGGTATCGGATTTAGAGCGGGATTAAGTAAATCCGGGACGGACGCTTTACGTGAAAGAGAAGATGTAGGAGAGGAGCTGGAAGGAGGAAAAAAAAAAGGAGTTTATGAAGTTATTTATGGTAATATTGATGTTATTGTGGTGTAATAAAATTATAATATCCCTAGTATTCTCATCAATACCGCCAGTCATACTTACGCTATACGGATGTAATAATTCTTCCAGTCTAAGCCGTGATCCCGTCGGAGGAGGCTTTGCCGGCGTGAGAGGATGCCGACGAAAGGGGGCTGCGGTCGTGAGCACTGAAGGAGGCGCGAAAGCTAGGGCTCCGACTGAAAGGGAGCGAAGGCCGGGGGGAGCGGGATGCCGTCGTCGAGGAGGGCCGATGGGACGTCGCCGGCGAGAACACGCGACTCGTGCTTGAGGTTGGCCCGAGGTTCCCACGCCAAAAACCCTCGGGTAGGAGCTCCGGGAGTGGGGAGGACGTCGGCGGGGGCTTCGTTCGCAGGCTTCGAACTTTAGGCGCGCGAACGGGCTTCGAGCGGGAGCGGCGCGACTTGAGGGAGCTAGCGCACGGGGAGTGCGATGGGTTCTAATGGGATATTTCTTTTTTTTTTGAACTTTTTTTACTTTTAATTATAATTAATGTGCATCGATTTACGTGGTACGAAACCATGGCAAAGTTGACATCCTTCTTAAGTAAAACCGACCTTTCCAGACTTATTTTTTATGTCTATTTCGTCATATGAGGTTAACCGGACAAATTCACCGATGGATGGGCCATTTTGAGCTAGTTTCGTGAGTGATGCGGCGAATGAAACCTGTTAGACTGCTTGAAGCCGCCTAACATACAAAATGATGACAACGTTCACCTAAGAGAATCAAAGTTGAGCAGGATGATCCCGACAACGTGCCTCTCAATACGTGTCAAAAGTCTCAAATTGATGTATTGCTTTACGAGAATCAACACATGCATCAAGGAATATTCCAAAGCGCTCCAGCGGACATCCTACACTCGCAACATAAAAAATTTATGCCAACACGACTGTCCCAGATCGATGATCCTATCTTCTGGGTTTGATCTACCGATACGTGTCGATCACCCATCTTGGGTTTGCTCGGTCGTTTCAGGCCGATCACCCTATCTTCTGGAGTTGATCGGCTAGTACATGTCGATCACTTGCCTTGGGTTCAATCGGTCATCTTGGGTCGATCACCCTATTTTCTGAGTTATCGACTGCTACGTGTCAATCACCCACCTTGGGTTCGATTGGTTCTTCTTGGTTGATCACCCTATCTTCTGGGTTTGATCAACTGTTACGTGTCGATCACCAGCCTTGAATTTGATCGATTGCTACGTGTCGATCGCCCGCATTGGGATTGATCGGTTGTCCCAGGCCGATCACCCTATTCTTTGGGTTTGATCTGTCGCCCCAGGCCGGTCACCCTATTCTTTGGGTTCGATCGGTCGTCCCGGGATGCTCACCCATCCTTCGAACCTGATCGATTACCTAAGATTGATCCCCCTGCTTCCTCGATTCGATCGGCTGCCACGACCCGGTCGACCTACCACTTACGTGCTTGTATGCTTTTGCATCATAATGCACGTGTGTGTGATTTGCATGGTTTTTTGTCACTATTGGGGTTAGGTGTAATTCTCCTCATTGGCGTCCTATACCCCAGAAGACCAAGCACAATATTTTGGGTGTCATATGTCTTGCAAGACATTTTGCATGGCCATCATCGTATGTCTTTGCTTTTTGAGTGTTTGTTCACGCACTCACTGCACTTGTGTGATTCTCCCCAACAAGAATCATCACATCCCTCGGGCACTTTTTCTCAGTATACCCCTCTGTCGAGTTTTTGTCTTCACAACATGCCCGCCCCAGGTCACTGCCTCATTGGCATACCCATCCGTTAGGTCGCTGCCTGCACGACATTTTCATCCCCGAGTCACTGTCTCCGCGACACGACATATCTATCCTTAGGTCACTGCCTCCTCGCCATACCCATCGGTCAGGCCACTGCCTCCTCGACATGTCCATCCCTGGGTCACTCGCTCATCAGCATACCCATCGTTCGGGTCACTGCCATCACGAGATTCCATTCTCGGGTCACTCTACTCGACACACCATCTGTCGGGTCGTTGCATTCACAATGTTTTCACCCTTTCGAGTCATTGCCCTCACGACATACCCTTCCTTTCCCATTCTCGGGTCACTTTCTACTCGACACACCCATCTGTCGGGTCGTTGCATTCACAACGTTTTCACCTTTTCGAGTCATTGCCCTCACGACATACCCTTCCTTTGAGTCGTTGCCTCCATGACAAGTTCGTCTTTTCTAAGTCACTGTCTTCAAAACATACTCACCCTCACCACTTTGGTGCACTTCTCATGTTTGTTTGTTGCATATATTGCATGTTTGCATGTGTGCTCAGTTGAGTACCTCCCGAGTAAGGAGTAAATCCTTTTTATAGGGTATCATTTTCGTCGATGCAAACTCACTTGTTGTCGGTTTCTGCCGGTCACATGGCACCCCGGGTCCCCGAACAGGCGTAATTCCTCTTCATAGGTAGCTTGTTTTACTAGTACATTCAGGTCATGCATGGCATGTTGTGTGTAGCATCGCTGCATCTATTTGCAGGATGTGTGCTTCGCCCTCTTGGGCGTCCATTGTGATTGTTCCATACTATGTCCGAACAATCACAATGTGAGCTTCTTGCATGTATGTGTGTTGCTCATTCGCCTTGATGGTTGTTCTACCAGTTAGGAGAGTGACCAGTTTGTTGGTCATAATACTCAAACGAGTGTTGCCCATAAGAATGCCTCCACGAGCTATGTGAATTTCTATATCACGAGTAACAAACATGTAGTGACTTTGCTAAATATCTAAGGGTTCTAACATGAGTTGTATACGTCGCAGACCAACATTGTAGGTCCGTTATTTTAAAAGTATAAGAAAATGAATATTTATGACTGTGCTAAATATCTAAGGGTTCTAACATGAGTTGTACACGTCGCAGACCAACATTGTAGGTCCGTTATTTTGTCCGTTATTTTAAAAGTATAAGAAAATGAATATTTTTACTATTATTGCAATATCTGCCATACTTTTAAAACTATATAAGTTGGGTCATCTGTGATGTCGCTTATTATAAACTATCACCCTTCTCTTGTGATGTGTTTTAGAAGCCTTGAATCTTTAGAATGGAGCCGGTGTGGTGACCCCGTCAAAGTCATACAATAGTCAGAGACTCTACTATGTACACTTAGGTGCTAGATTATGACATTTTTCATTAGATGGTGTGTTATGTTATGATCTAGTTTTCTAGGTAGTTTTTTTATGCATGGCTATTATTCATTGTTGGTTTGGTTGCCCTAGTCAGACATCTTTCTTACTTTGTGCTTTTGGTGTGACTGCATGTCTGATATGCATGACAGCGTGTTAGGACGCTTTTATGTAAGGAACTGTGTCTTATATATGCACACACACATATACTTTGAAAGATGGAGCATGTGATAATTTTCACTAACCCTTTTCTTGCAGGTGAGCTCGCCCACCAAGCATGGCTCATTATGCCTTGCATGGCCTTCCCCACTAACCTTGTTTTCTATGTAGGTCGAGTCTTTTCTCTTTTCCTATGTAATTTTAGAGTCATAGGAGAGTCCTGTGGCAAAAATAAGATACGGGTATGGGTTCCAAGGTGTTTGGCACGAAAACCACGTGGAGGGGACCAGGAGAAGATGGTCGTGTCTCGTATCTTAATTCTGCATTTTATATTGATGTATATATCTAGGATTGAGCATGTATATGTGAAATCTGACCACCTTTTTTTTTCTAAGATATGTTGTCGACTTGGGGGCCTGAGCCTTTCATATATTTTATTTGGCTTGTTTTATGCCTTATTGTATGCCTGAATGCTTGGAATTTTTCATTGTTTATTTATGTGGTTTGTTTGGTAATCACGATGCAATATAGGTTTATTAGGACTTAAAATCATAATTTTTCTATAAAATCCTAATTAAATATTTAAGATAATGAATTTTAAGATTAAAATATTCACAATTTTAAAATCCACCCTTTTACTTAACAAGTTGCATAATATCGATATAACTCAAGTCATGTTTAATAGGGCCTCCACAATATTTAAGGACTGCTCTAGATAATTGCATTCATATTTGCATGTCCGAGGAGAAGCTCTCTTGCTTCAGCAATCCGACAGACCCGACATACATTTTTTTCTATATAGGTGGTTGTCTAATGCGCATAAGGTGTTAGCAGGCTCCCGACTTAGACGGGTGTAAGTCCTTTTGTTTGGAGTATTGCAGCTTTGTAGCTCAACCTCCACTTCTCCTCTTTTCCTAAGTCATCCTTGTTAATTCGACATGTGTAAGTTTCACCTCTTAGAGCTCCAGTTTATCGTCATATAATAGAGTTTCCTTCATTTGACCTTAGGTCTATTGACATCCCCGTAGCCGACGCAATTCACAACTTGCTGACTGGGGATCTCTAAACGTGTTGGGTCGAGTACATTCACGACCGGGTGGACTTAGGATCATAGTGGCTTGAGATGGTGGGTTTGTGGTACCCCGACCCAGCTACATCTACCTTTTATTATCACTTTAACTTCTTGTTGTGAAACCCATTTGAGCCCTGCCACTCATTAAATTCGTTTGTATCTTCTTGAAGACGCGATGTCGATAAGCTGACCCCCTTTTAGGGTGCAACGAATTGTTCTCCGGCCTTATGATTCAGATGTGCTTTGATGTGTTAGGATATCCCCATCAAGATGGTTTAGGTTATTCAGTTTGAGAATGTCTCGATGCTTCAAAGTTCTCACTTCATGTTGACATGACTTATTCAATCGGCTAGGCTTTTGTTGATCTGTTGATTTGTTTAGTTCGTTGACCCTCTATCCATGATGAGGAGCTCATGTCGACAAAGCAGCACTAGAATATTTTAATATAAAGTGAATCACCGTGATCCAGAAGATAGGTCGCTCCTCAACGAGGAAAGCATAAGGGATGTTTATAAGACTCTTTATTGTATTGTAATTTTTTATCCCTTATTAGGAGCCTCAAGGACGTCCTTGAGATGGTTTGTGATATTGAGGAATTAGATCTTTCATCAGCTTGTATCTATCAGAAGATAGGTTACTGCCTTCGTTCGACTTATTGTAGTAATTAACTTGAATGTCTCTTTATATTGTTTATAGCCAAATGACTCAGATGTGATCACCTTCGGTCGGTTTTGGCCTTGCCTGCTCTCGCTCGAACGACACATTGATCGTATAGATAGGCCTCCTTGCTTTTTGTCAGTGGGCTCTCATTCATCGCGCTCCCTTCATTTTGGACCGTCGAATCTATTGGGAATCAACATTTACATATTTTTAATGTTCATATATATTGATTATTATACATGTAGATTAAATAATATAAATAATTTGAATCAAATGATTTATAAATTATATTTCACATGCATGATTGATTGATGAAATTCACCCCTCCATGCACTAGATGAATATGCTAATGTCTTTTTTTTTACATCAATTTAAAAAGAATATTGAAATTGATGTCACTTATTTGCTACAATCTAACAAATGTTTTTTTGAGACGGAAGTATCAAATAAAATGACAAAGATAGAAAATATTATAATATGATATGATGAATATACTAAAACTTATTGAATGAAAACATAAACTTTCAATTGATTATAAAACTACTTCCATAGTATTGTTGTATTTTAGATGCATTAGCATTAATTGATTTGTTATAATTCACGATAAATTTAAATTAATATTTTCATGTCTAATTATTAAACTTAAAATATATAATATAAGAGAAAATATTTATAGAAAAGATAATCAAACACACAAATATTAATCTAAACCATAACTATTTTTTAGTTTATTCGCTAATGACTCTTTCTATTACATGAATGAATAATTATTAGTGCTAGAAAATGAAACCAAATTTAATTTCACAACCCGCTCGTCTATTTCGGTCGTCGTAAATCCAAACCCTAAAATCCGACCCTGAGAGGAGTAATAGAAAAAGATAACTTCAATTAAATTTTTATGTTCAAGTTCATGAACATATTGAAGTAAACATCCCAACTACATCATCTTCCCTATCATCATTGATAATTAATTAATCCAACAAAATATTTAATACATTACTAATTACCATTACATAAAATTTTTATATTCAAGTTATTAATAAAACATAAATATGGGAACATTTGGTGAAAGGAAATCAACACATTTAGTAGCCATTTAAATGAAAAAGTATCGACAATGACATAAAACAGAATGTTGTTCCTGACATTATTAATTGCATGATAGAAGCCATGTGGATTTTGTTGTAATTCATAAATTCATGGTTGGATATATATATATATATATATATATATATAATGGTATAAAAAGTTTTCACAAATAATGTGAGTGAATTACAGTAAATTGTCATAAAATGAAGGGGTTGATTGTGATTATGCACTGCAAATAATTTGAGAAGAGCATTCCTCTAAAAATTCTGAAATTTTAGCAGAATAAATACGAGGGAAGCTTCTGACATGGTCAACATGAGGAGAAGTACCGAAATTATAATGAAGAACTTTTCTTCCCATAGCCTTCTGTTCATGAATAAAGGATTCCACCGAACTAGCTGGGATTACTCTGTCAGCAGAGCTGTAGAGGTAAAGCTGAGGGCAAGGTGGCTGTTTCTTTGACAGAACGGATATAATTTTGCACAATCTCCTGTAAATTAGAAAATTGTTTTTGTAATTTAGATTAAAAAAAAGGTTATTTGAATCAACAGTATCATAGTTTATAGCAATTTGAATTGTTTAAAGATGAGTGCAATATAAAATTTGATTTGAGTAGTCATATAAGTAAATTTCATAACCATCCGCGCTAAAAAACATATTGTCAAAGAACACTATGTGAATTTCACTCTTTGAAAAATGTTTGGTAATTTAGAAAAAAACATTTACATGCATGCCACTCAAATTTTATGTATTTTGTAACATGTATGCGACCTTATCGATGCATGAACATATGCATTTCACTCTTTTAAAATTAACATAATGATATTTTTTATGTGATAGGAAAGATTTGGGAGATGGAAATGTAAAAAAAATCAAAGTTTAGATGTTAGATATGTAAATACATGAGAATTGATGAACGCTATGTATGTAAGTTCCCCTAAATTAGGAAGATTTACATACATAACACTTAATTCATATGCAGCTACCTATCTAACACCAACTTCAATTTTTACAGATAAAAGATATATTTCACTTTGTGAAAATTAAAATAGCGGTATTTTTTATGTGATGTGAAAATTTGAGTGACACAAATGTAAAAAAGTAAATTTTAGGTGTTACATATGTAAATACATAAGAATTGAGTGGTGTGTATGTAAATGCCCCAATAAGAACTGAACTGGATGAAATGGATACTTACTGATTAACATCTGGCAAAATCAGAATAATGCTGAATATTTTCTCTAAAATGAACATGACAATGATTTCAAGGGCTTGTGATTTCCAATCTTGCATGCCGGATCTGTCACCACGACCTTCAGCACCGTCCCCATTGATTTGTTCAAGTGCAGCAATGACAGAAGAGCTGCGCTTCTTTATCAGTGCGGCGCAGAAGCCGGCGGCCCAAACCTGCAATGAAATGTTGCAGAAATCATGAAAATATAGTATAGGGGTATTTACATGCATATCTCCCAATTCTTATATATTTGCATATTTAACTTCCTAAACTTTGCTTTTTACACTCAAATCTTTCATATCACATAAAAAATGCATATCTCCCAATTCTTATATATTTGCATATTTAACTCCTAAACTTTGCTTTTTTACACTCAAATCTTTCATATCACATAAAAAAATACCACCATTTAAGGTGCAATTTATGTAAAAGTTGAAGTTTAGATGTGTAGGTACATAAGAATTGAGCGTTATGTGTAAATCTTCCAAAAGTACTAAACTAGTGTTTTAAAGGCTAGCATTTTGCATAAACCACAATTATATAGAATTTTTTTAGTAGAAAATATAAAAAACATTTATATCAAGAGAAACTCTAAAGCCCAATTCCAATCATATCCAATATTTTGCCAGGAAATTTTAAAAGAAAGGGGCATTTACATACCTACCACGCAATTCTTACGTATTTACATATGTAACGCCTAAACATTCACATTTACATGCATATCACTCAAATCTTTAACATCAACCATCATTATCTTTTAAAAAGCGAAATATACATTTTCATACATATTTTTATGTCACCAAAAGGTTATGAGGGTAAATATCAAACTCTGAACTTAAGATATGTAAATACATAAGAATTGTGTGATATGTATGTAAATTTCCCTAACAAAAATGTAGATTAAACAACCAAAATTAGAATGATGATGAGTTCAGAATATTATTTTCATTCTTAAACTTTGCAGAACTGCGCAAAAAATAAATAAATAAAAGATGACAATGGAAGAAAGGAGGTCCATACCTTGGGGCTTATCTCAGAGGCAGCTCCAGAGTCAACAACACATCCTTTAATTTTTTCAAGAACGTCATTCCTTGACTGGAAATTCTGCAGAATTGAACCATAGCTGCAGTGAAACAGAAAAAAAGAGAACTTGAGAATTACTACAAAGCTAATAAAAATTTGATTTTTATTTTTATTTTTAAGATAAACTAAAAGGGCACGTTTCGGTAGATATATTCACTACCCATTCAGAACATGGGCCAGGTGACCAGTCCGGTTTAAATGTTAATGGATGAGGCATATGGTTGCAATTTAATGAAGGACAATTTACATGCATACCACTCAATTCCTATGTATCAACATATCTAAGGCACAAAATTCAATTTTTACATACATGCCAACTCACCTATGCTTAAAAAGGTGCATTTTACCTTTTGAAGTTTAAATAATGGTTTTCTTGTGGTGATGCAAAGATTTGGGTGGTATAAATGTAAGACATAAAATATAGGTGTCAGATATGTAAATACATAGGAATTGAGTTTATGTATGTAAATGCCCATTTAATGAATTCTAGAACAAGAGAAAAAAAAGGAAAATGCTACCTTTTTGGTGAACAATAAAATCTAAAAAAAAGACTTCTATCTACATTAAGCCAAAAAACACAAGTAAAATGCTGCGTGAATATTTTAATACTGGCTATCTAAGTATTCTCAGAGAAATTCCTCAGGTCTGACAAAAAAATTTTGACAGAGGGAAATCTGGTTCATATTGATAGAAATCTAACAATTCATTTTGTTGGAAATGCCCAGTTGTGTGCATTGAGATGAGCATCCAACTATTCTTGCTTATGAGATTGCTCTTGGATTATTTCAAGATTTCTAATTTCTTATTAAATTTCAACTCTGACATTGTTATATGAAACTAATGATATTGTCGGATATCATTGCATTGTTTCATTTCATCATATATATTGTTGATATTGTTACAATGAGATGAGCACCTATGGTGATGTTTCCAATGAGAATGATATGCGTTCTCTAACATTTTAATCACCTTGATAATAATGTACAAAAGTGTCAAAATAGTCCCTTGCCTATTTACATGGGGCTATTTTAGCACCAGAGTCTAAAAATGCCAAAATAGTTCCCAGATTTTTTAAATTGGAACGGAAATAATCCTCAGCTGGGATTATTTCAGTATATATAAAAAGAATCTGGGTATTAAATCAATATTTATATAAATTTTGAGACTAAAATGACCTCTTGTAAAGAGTTAGACAATTATATTGACACTCTTCTCTATTGTTATACAATACGTCTACATGTGTAGTTGACTATTGTTAGGTTCATTTGATATCTGATATTGCCAACTATAGTTGGGATTCGATATTTCACTACATATGTCTTTCAACTTATTTGTTTCCTTCCTGGTTCTGCGCTACAGCAAGTATTGAATCCCTGCTGCTTCCTTCTCTTTTAGACCTTACTATTGCAGCAAAGGTCCACTAAAACACAGATCGCTTCTATATTAACGGTAAGGATTAAGAAAATTACAAAATTGGTAATTAGGGCAGCTGAAAATGATGATTAGAAATATGGTAAATCAGTTAGGATCTGATATTGTTGAGATCAAAAGTTATAGTTTTATGTTAGAGTTTGATTTTCTAATAAAATTACCAATTATGGGACCTTTTTTTTTGTTATAAATAAGACTATAGGGACTTAAGGACTAAATTTTGGCTTAAAAAATGTCACATTCCTCCATAACTTCGTAAATGGTTAATTTATCTTTTTTAGTTTGTTAATGAGGCTGAATTTTCTTTTTTGATCCGTATACATACACTTTTCAACCAGGCAGTATGTGACTGACTTATGCGTGTGTTATTGGATTGAATGAAAATTATGTGATCCAATCAATTACAGAATTAACTCAAGCATCTTCAATGACAAGGTAGAGGGAAAGGGGGGAGCACTGTTTAAGCCTATAAAATTCGAAATGACCTACAGTGATTTAAACAGTTGGTTCATGAATTTACTTTAATCATAATATAATTTGGTTTCTCAGTTCAAAAGATTTTTTTTTTTTTTGGTTTCGAATCGAACTGAACCAATAGTCTAACTGAACCAATAGCCGAAATCCAAAAAACACATAAATTAGAACAAAAAACTAAATTGTGACTTCATCAACCGAACAAAGTCAATCAAATATGCTCGGTTCGATTTGGTTTTTTGGATTAAATCAATTAATCCTCGCCCCTAATTGGCATCTACAAAATAGACAATTTTAGCACTTATACAAAAGAAAGCACATCAACAGCGTTTCCTTACCCATGTTTCACTTGCAACTTAGAACAGAATAAAAATCAGCTGCAGGTTTCATTAACAATCGTAGTTTGGTGATCTCCAAAGGAACGATTTCTTTGGTAAACGCATAATAATTGCTTTGGCATCAAATAGTTCGTCAAATGCATGAAATGTTTCCATCACAAGCCAAAATAAATTTTCCACTCTCTTTGCTGATGAAGAATCAGTTAACTTGTAACGGTGTCCCTTTTCTTGTTAATATATCTATAAATCAGCTATTTTCATGCCATTTTTAAACATATATTTAGTTTTTGAATCGTTTCCATGGCAACAAGGAGGCTAGGTCTGATTCATCCAAAATTTAAACAAAAAAGAAGAAGAAATATCGACCCAAGAACACCAAATAATAACGTCAAACGCAGCCAAACAAACATGAAACTAAAGGAGAAAAGCAGAGTAAGTTACACTAGCCAACCAGTATTGCTGAAGGTGTGGAAAAACAAATTCCGCTCCCTTCCATCTTTCTCACTTTCCAAGCACCAGTTCGCTAGCTCCTCCGCAAATCTCGCGATCTTCGCCTCCATCCTCTGCCCCAAATCCAAACCCACCATCTCCCAAAGCGGCACCACGAACCGAACAGATCGAATCCCCCTCGCGTTGTAGATATCAGCATACCTCTTCAAATGCCTCTCCTCCGCACCCAACCATCCCAATAGCACCACCGTCCATATTGCCCCTTTCTCCCCGCCGCCATGCCGGACAGCTAGCTCGCCCACCGGGTCCCAGAGGTGAAACCCTTTCCCTGGCTCCGGTAAGGAGCCATCGATGCCATCCTTCAATAGATCGGAGCAGGAGATTGAGAGAAATAGAGGTGACTGCGCACGAAAGACCGCCGGCCAATGGCCGACGCCGTTGCCGGTTATAACAGCTGTAGATCGGAATCCAGCCGAGGCGGGATGTTGAATTGATCTGGGTCGAGGGTTTCGGAGACGAAGTGATAGAGGAGAGTGAGGACTGCACTGATAAATATGGCAGTTGAGAGCTCGAAAACTGATTAGGCGCACTGCGGCAGCCATGGCTGCTTTTGAAGGACGCCGGTTTAACGCCTCCTATATATATATCCCAGGCATTTACATGTTTACCGCAAAAAGTTATGTATTAACATATTTAAAGTTTTTGGTTTCAGAGTAATGAAGCCCCAAAAGAAACTGTGGAGAAAGTGTGGAAGTCTTTAGGATCTGATCATATTCCAATTAGAGTGTGAAAATATTTAGAAGATTTTGGGAGATTTTTGATATATTAAACTGTTTAATATTATTTTTAAAACTAAAAAGATGTCTAAGGAGTGGAGGAAGAGTATTTCGGTCCTCATTTTTAAGAATAAAGGAGATACACAAGAGTATTCAAATTATAAACGAATTAAGTTGAAACGAATTAAGTTGATGTGTCATACTTTAAAGTTATGGGAGAGAGTGATTGAACAAAGGTTAAGACACATGACAAAGATTTCTCATAATCAATTTGGATATATGCCGGGCAGGTCTACTATGGAAGCTATACATTTATTGAGAGGTTTGATGGAGAAGTTCAGAGAATAAGGAGAATTTACATTTGATTTTATTTATTTAGAAAAAACTTATTGATACGTCACCAACAAATTTTCATCATCCGACACAAATCTCGAGGCATAACACAAATCTCAATACGATACTTTAAACAAATAACATTTAAATCTTGATAAAAAAATCATCCAGAGCTCCGATTTCAACAAACTTATAGTAAAACTAACTGGTTCGAAGAGACGAACCTAATGATATGAAAGTTAGTCTAATCCGAGTCAAATCAAGCTCAGATCAAGTCATTAAACCACTATTGAAAGATTTTTGTACACATTTGGATGGCCAATAGATGTCGACACTGACAAGTTTATACTTGAATCGAACAGCTCGACAAGACGAATCCAACGAGACCAATATCACTCATTTCAGACATCGTTAAGGTATTCAAATATCCATTAAACACGGCATGATCCGATGAAGCTCTTTGGACCGTCCTATCAAAATGATTGATATTCTTGCATTAATTGCACTCAAAACAATATAAATATACACCCACCCTTCACATGAGGGGAAGCTAAAATTTAGAGAGAGAGTTTGAGGCATTGAGGAAAAGCTGCAGTTCAGCATCACCACCGACCGTTGTCGACCCTCGTCGATTGCAGTCAACCACCACCAACTTTCGTCGACCTCCGCCAACCGTCATCCACTGGCACTAACCACCATTGATCACCTCCAACCAGACACCATCAGTCGATGTTGTAATATGAAAAATATAATTACCTTTTTCCGTATGTGGGATAAGGGATTTATGTAATCATCAATTAAAAGTGAATTTTCACAACTGCGTCAGACCTCGTGGTTTTTCCCTTACTGGTTTTCCACGTAAAAAACTTCTAGAGCCATCACCGTTTTTTTTCTTTCATCTGTGTGTGTGTTGAAATTTCGCACAACACTAAGACAATAATTCATTACTCTACCGCTGTAAATTTTCATCACTTACGATAAGGTTCAAAGAGATATCCTTTGGAGAGTTCTTGAGAAGAAAGGTGTTGATATGACATATATTCAAGTCATTAAATATATGTGTATAATGTATACTAGAGCTGTTACTTGTGTTCAATCCAAAAGAGGATTGACCAAATATCTTCCTATTTTTATTGGATTACATCACGGATCGGCTTTAAGCCCATATCTTCTTGCTTTAGTTATGAATGGTCTTACTGAACATCTACAGGAGGATGTACCTTGTTGTATGTTTTTTGCTGATAATATCCTTCTCATGAATAAAACGAGAGAAAAAACCCAGGAAAAACTTGAATTATTAAGGTCTACGTTGGAGCCTAAAAGTCTTCATTTAAGTATAACTAAAACTGAATACATGGAATGTAATTTTAGTAGTAGTAGCTTTAGTGACAAAAGCGTGACTTTTGGTGATCAAATTATTAAAAGATGTGAACAATCTAGATACAAACCATCTGATGATATGATTAGAAGAGTAGATGTTTTAGATTCGACTTGTGTTAAGAAAGACAGAGGTAGACCTAGGAAAACTTGGGCTTATTGTATAAAAAATGAAATGATCTTAATTTACTAGAACTAAATGAAAACATGACACTAAACATGACACGTAGTGGGATTAAGGCTTTTTTGTTGTTGTTGTTGTTGTAGACTAATGAAACCTGAAATCTGTTTGCTTTGAATATTGAAACTTAATAAATTATTATTTTAATTATTTTAATTTTAAAAATATTCAAATAACAGAATATTAGACTTCTCTTAACTTAATATTTATTAGTTTTTTCATTAATATTTAAATAAATTAATATTATAAATTTCATATAAAAATATCTTGAATTTTTAAATTTATTATAATATCTAAATTTATTAATTAAATACTATTTAAAATTTAATGTAAAAGATTAATATTAAAAACGCATCGTTTTTGCTCCTTTATAAAGAAAGGCTGCATGCCCCCTCTATTTCATTAAATATATTATCTTGCATCACGAAAAATTATTTCATACGGATCGGACACCGGTGTTCGATCCGGACTGTAGATCACCTGATTTCGGTTGGCCCCACCTATTTTTTTTTTTTTTTTTATTTTTTTTATAAAAAAAATAAAAATAATCCTGACCGTGATCTTATCTTCAGTATCGCAGTATCGGACAAAGCACGCAATAATTCCTCCCTTTGCACGCTGCTAACAGAACCATTAGGAGAAAGGAGAACGCTAATGGCGTTGGAGAAGAGCAGGATCTTGATCATCGGCGGCACGGGGTTCGTCGGACAGTACATTGTGAGGGCGAGTGTGCGCACTGGACATCCCACCTTCGCCCTCATCCGGGAAGGTTCAGCCGGCTCCGATCCTGACAAAGCTAGAGTCATCGATGACTTTAAAGCCGCCGGCGTCACGATTGTCTACGTACGGCGCCCTAACCCTAACCCTAACCCTAACCCTTTATTTTGAATTAGGTTTGTTTCGGTTAATACTTTTGGGTGGATTGTTTTTAGGGGGATCTTCATGACCATGCGAGTCTTGTGAAAGCGATAAAGCAGGTGGATGTGGTGATATCGACTGTAGGTCATGACCAGATCGCTGACCAGCCGAAGATCATTGCTGCGATTAAGGACGCTGGGAACGTGAAGGTTTGTTTGCTTCTGGAGTGTGTATACTTTGTTTTCTGTTTGTTCTGTTTTTATGCTTTTGCGGCTTATTTTCTTAGCTTTTCCGGTTGATGTAATTTGTTTTGTTTAGTAGTGTCTTTGTTTGGGATGGATGGTACTATTAATTTTGATTTAGGGTCGGTTTGAGGCAACTGTTGATTATTTATAATCTACAGATTATCAAAATAAACTGACTTACTGTTTGAGTCAACTTATTCAGAATAGCTTATCGGTAATTATGACTGTATAAATGACATTACTGCCCCTGTATAATAAAACTGTTTGGGGAGCTTATTAAGAATAACTTATTAGCAGCACAGTAGTGCAGAAGCATAAAATCATCACAGATCAGTTCCAAAAGATGATATACAGTTCTCACACTCTCTTGAGTACAAAAAAAAAAAGATAAAGACAAATACAATACAATGAGAAATTTTAAAATATTAAATTTCAAGCTCTGACTACGTCTGTCCCCAACTGCACTATCAACCTGGGAAAACATTAAATTTTCATCACTGCTGACAATGTAACATATGGGACTGTTGACCCATTGAAAGAAACCACAATGAGTTGAAACACCCTTATCACAACCGTAAAACTGTCTCCCAAAGCTATGAGGGTTATGCGATGTGAGCAACAGAGCCGACAGTCCACAATAACACAAAACAACTATGTCTATCATTGAAATCCTAGAAGTTATGTTAGTATAACTGCGAAAAAAAAATCAAAAAAATCAAATGTCAGATCTTATCTCAAAAAAAAAAAACACATAAAAATTGATCTATAATGTACGAAGAAAAGAAATACTCGTAGGATGAGCTGTCATTTATAGCATATGTTATAGACTCCCTCAGAGCAGCCATCTCAGCCACACCCTCCACGTCATGAACTTCAAATTCATTAAAGTCATTCTTATCCTCAGGAACTGAAGGCCCGAGCATAATTTCTGATGGTTATTCATAGATATTCAACTCATCGTTATCAGCCATACTAAAACCCGTATCTGAACGTGAAAGGTGTCGTCGGATGAAGTTATGTAGTGTCATGGTTGCCATCACAATATGCACCTGCTTCTGAAATGAATATGACGACATATCACGTAGGATGACTCATTTCTTCTTCCAAACTCCAAAAGTTCTTTCAATTACCCCACGAAAAGAGGAGTGACGTTTGTTAAACATTTCTTTCCTACCACGAATAATGTCACTTGCTTGCTCCAAAAGTTCTTTCAATTACCCCACGAAAAGAGGAGTGACGTTTGTTAAACATTTCTTTCCTACCACGAATAATGTCACTTGCTTGCTCCAAAAGTTCTTTCAATTACCCCACGAAAAGAGGAGTGACGTTTGTTAAACATTTCTTTCCTACCACGAATAATGTCACTTGCTCGCTCAAAATCAGGAATATGATACCTAGTATCTAGATATGGTTTCAGATTGTCCATTTGCATAGGGTATTCATCATCAACCAAATAATATTTTCCAGTTATGGAAGATATTATTATTTGCAATAAATACATGTAACTAGGAATTTTATAAATCAGAACATACCTGAAGGCGGATGAGAAAAACTCTGCGATCTATTCCAGCAGCATAGGAGAAAATCCGACTATTATGGGCACTCCCTTCCCAACTCGCCATAACATATGTGAAACACATGTTGAAGTCATATACCGCCATGACATTTTGAGTAGTTGAACTACTTCGACCAATGTAAACCACCTTGTTCTGGCTGGGTATTCGGGCATCAACGTGAGTACCGTCAATTGCACCTATGCAGTTCTGTTTTGCAGGGTTAGAAAATATTTGTATTTTGATATGTACGTAAAGAAAACAATAATTACCTTGAAATAAGGTATGTAACGGGGATCAGTTGCGATTTGTCCTGGAGTATTAGCAAATGATGGATCCTCTTGTCTGATTATTTTAGCGGCTAAACTAACAAAAGTTTGTATGCCTTTGGAGAAATAACGACTTATTGTCTCCGATGAATGCTGAAATCTCTCTATAGCACTCCTAATTGATTCATTCTGTGACAAAATATATAGCGTTATAGCCAATACCTCTCTTCTCGTCGTTCTCAAAGAACCTTGGAGTCCGTGATTCAGGGAGAACTCGTGCAGGATATCCATAAATATCGGTACAATCATTCAAAATATATTACTGAACCTAATTGGATGTCCAGAAAACATTTCATCTACCCATTTATCTTCAACAAAGTTGGAGGTCATTCGGGGTAAACTTCAGCCAATCATAATCCCTTCCAGTCAGTTATTTAAATCTTTTAGCTATATTTTACCAACCTTCTTTGTTGAAATACGTGGTTGACCTATTTCCGATCTCAATCTCGGTGATGCAGAAATTGCATAAAATATTTGTAACTTCCTTTTCCCACATCGTTAACCAACCACCTTAATTTGTCTTAGCCATGGTGTAACTATACGAAGAATTGCATATGCATAAAGAAATTAATATTGTAACTCAACATGCATAAGAAAGCGAGATAGCAATGCATTCCATCCAAATGAACCAACAAGAGAAGAAATCTAACCATGCTATAGGCATACCATACAAATGAACCAACAGTGTAGCAATTTGCTAAAAAAAAAAGAGACGAAAGAATTATATGGTTCAGTCAAAGACCTACATCCACAGTAAGACATTAAACATGTTTTTATTATGCAATTGTGTAAGGTTACATAACAAAGAAAGACATCCAACTGAACTACATGTGTGAAAATAAGCAATAGATATCTTATATATGAAATGCACCTTCTCATACATATCGTGGAATCAAATTCCACCCGAAGTAACTGCCAAGTGTGACAATAATTTTTTTCATTGTCAACTACAAATATGCAACCCTTAGTTCTAAAATATAAGCAATGTGATAGTTGACCAATGCAACCCGTAACTCTAAAGACCAATATATCCCCAAAAATCATTCCATTTAACCAACAAACCAAACAGTCCCCTTTCAATAACAGTGGTTGGATATAGAATTGTATTATTTGAGAAGCTGCACATGGATATGTCATTCATTAATGCAATAGATTTTAAATTTCTTTACGAAACTGCACATGAATATTCCATTCATTAATGCATTACAATAAAAGCCAATGGATCAATGTTAAGCTGATGGGAGAATGACATTTCATTTAGAAGCATCTCTATAGTAAACTCTAATATATTTTGATCAACTTTCATTAATGCATTACAATGAAATCCACTGAATATATTTTGATCAACCTTCATAAGCACACCCTCTATGACTTTAGTAGGGGATTGTATCAACTAATAACATATGGTTGTGGGCATAACATCATTAAATTTCTAAATGCAGCTTCGTAAACAAAATTAAAATCTAATTCATTAATGAATGAAATATCCATGTGCATTAATGAATGGAATATCCGTGTGCAGCTTCAGATTTTAAAACTAAAATGAGAAGAAACTTCAATAAGCTCATCCTCAGGAACTGTAGAAAACAAGCATAATTATATATTCTCCATAGCTGTTTTAAATTCAAAAATTATTGAAAAGAACAAGATCAAAAGTAAGAAAATTTCAAATGAATTGAAAAAGTTTCAGCACTTATTTGCTCAATCATTGCAGCTAGTGGAATTCTTCCATCCATGAAATTTATTAGTGAATGAAATGTTTTACTCATTCAAGATGCATAGAAACACAAAATCCATCTCTTTACATCCGCCCATATACAAACCTACCGAAAACCAGGTAACAACATCTCTCATTTAGGATCTAATATATCACTCACATTTAGACCAATAACAAAGAATTGAAATAATGCATAAGAATTGAGTGGTCTGTATGTAAATGCCCCAATATATTTTGTATGTAATAGCATTGAAATTCATATGCAAGTGCATAGAAACTGAGTGGTATGCCCCATTATATTTTTTTCAACAGAGCATACAAATTGAGTAGGAATTGAAGTAGTATGTGCATAAATCCCCCATTGTGATTTTTTTCAACAGTGCACAGGAATTGAAGTGGTATGTATGTAAAAATGACACAGATGCATCCAATTTTCTCTAATTTCCACTTGATCGTTCTTCTCATAATTGATAAGAAAGAATGAAAACTCTGAAATGATTCATCTGTTTTCCTCATACAAGATGCATAGACACCCAAATAATCCACATCTCAGCTCTCTCATTCTTCTTTTCTAACTCATTAACATTCATTGATTTGGTATAAATCACCAATCTATATGTACGTAAATTGCAACCCGAGCCAAAATAAAACAAGTGAGGTATGAAACCAATTGCTTAGCAATAGTTATTCCAACATTCCCAAGCAACGAGTAATGTGAGGGTCGAATACATACTCGTATGAGGCGAGATATGAGCAAAAGAAAGATCGGGGAGGGGGAGAGTGTGAGGTCAAAAATATACCTTATATATGTGCCGATCTCCGCGAGAGTTAAGGAGCAGAAGAGAGATCGGGAGGGCGAGGGCGAGGCCGAGCAGAGAAGGGCACCTCTGGAATTCTTACCCTAACGCGATAAGCATACGCGGGATGCGGCCTCCATCCCGCTTCTTCACCTATTAAGGATTTTGCGAATTGCGTTTCAGAGCGGCACAAATAATCTGAAGCCAACGTGATATTCAAGCACAACGGCGGGCGCTTTTTTCACAAGGCGCCCGCCCCACAGCTGCCCCAAACGGGGACTTAGTCAAGGAAAACTGATTGTAAATTACAAGTTGGGGAGTGCTTAGAAAATGCTGTTAGATTTTGTACTAAACGTTATGTATGAATTTTAATTACCAGTTGGATCAGAAAAGAAATTCCAACTGGTCAAGCGAGAAGTTTGACACAAAGCCCAAATCCCGAGGCAGTCAAATGGGATGAATAGAGGTAAATTTTGACTTCTAACATTATTTCAAGTCTATAGCTGAAATTATTTTCTTGTTACTGCAAATCCAACCACTCCAAAAATATTTAAATTTGACAATAAAA